GGGTTCCATGGGTTTCTAGAAATCCCCCTCGACCATAAAAATAAAAAATAAAATAAATGATAAATGAAATCAAATGAAAACGCATCCAAGAAGAATGAAGCTGGCTTATATCTTCCAATAGGTAAGCGGTTTATATTACACTTTTACAATGCAATGTACGCACACAGAACTGTAAAGCGTTTTGAGACTTTCACGTTACATTTCAACCTGTAGTTCGAGTAAAAAAGCACAGTAAAAAGTTATTTTTAGGAAAATGCGAAAACAAAGTGGAACCCCCCTTTGAAAAATTCTGGATCCGCCACTGAGTTTACTACTGGCATTAATGACTGAGGTTTGCAATACTGTCTAGACCCATATTTATCGATTTTACCTATTTTTTACAAAGAGTTAGGTGATTCTTTCATTGAGAAGAGTTTTAACATTTCGCGAATAATTCATAACAAATATTCTGATAACCTCTATAATGAATTCAGACTTCAGAGTAATTTGCCATACTTACTCTTAGTAAGNCTAATTAACTTTTTGAAAGAATCGTTTTCGCATGATTTATTAATAAGTTTTGACATACTAAATGCAGTTTCTTTCAGTGTAGATGCTGAAATTAATTCCATATCATTGACGTTTTACAGTTGCAAAGTCACATAAATACAACAACAAGGTCATTTGCATGTATAATACTTTTACATTTCTTTTTAATAATATTTGACATAAAGCTCCAAATAAAAATGTCTCTACAATGCCAATAACAATTATTTCGCTATTCACAATTATAATTCTTCCTGAGAATATTTAAAAACTTTTCTATGCCGATGAATTTGTTTTTTTATGTCTTTTTTACATGTGATTAACGTTTTGGGGATTGATTTTAATTACAAAGTAATTACAGCACAATCAAAGCATCATAGCTAATTATGGTTGAATGTTTATCTCTCCATGTACTCGGAATCAATAAATATTGCTATTTTTTAGTATTCGTCACATTTACCGTCTAAAACAACATAATTTCAATGCCCAGGTTGAATGGCCAAGTAACTCCAATTAATTGGAGTTATGGTTTTCTCTGATGTTATCCTCAAAACCAAGATGCATAAATTTCTTTTTTTAATTAAAAGTCCGTGAAAGAAAGACAATAAAATTGGCTTTGAAATCTCACACCTCTATGATTACAATTAGAAATATATTTTTCTTACAAATGAGGGTAGCACATAGCAGGGTCGAGCATGGGAGAATTCGAAATTGGAATATTGCACTTCAATGGAGGAATTGATATGCCAGACACCATGCATTTGTTTGTTTTGTAATGTTTACATGATTTCAGGCAATTATCCACCCTTCCAKCCCCTATGTTGGATAATGGCATATATTGCTTCTGAAGTTTTCCACCAAAATAAATGCCATGATTGTAGGTGTATTAAGGAACACAGTGCATGGATCCTTTTATTCCCACAGTATATTGACAGAATCTTGAACCCTCGATCAAATGTTTTTTTTCGTGGTCATTGCATCCGAGTATTGAACTATCTGATTGTACTTAAATTTTAGAAGGCGAAAGAGGAATTTCCAGGCCCAGATGTATAGAAAATAAATCATTCTACACTATAAGAAGTACACAATAAAATATATTCTGAATTTATGGTAACGCTTTATTTTCTACCACCTTTTATAAGTGAAAATACAAAACTCAAGTTGAAAATTCTTTTTGAAGCTTATAAAACTCATTAATAATTCAGGAACTAAAATTTATTATAATTTTTCCTCGAGAAAAACGTTTTGGTCAAAACACGTGCTTTAAGAGACTCTTTGCTTTGATTCGTAGGAAATTCTTATTCATGGATAAAATAACACTCTATTAGTTATTTTGCTTTGAGTTGAAGTAAAAGATGATTGCCATTATTTGTACAACTTGCGAAATTAAGAGACCCAGAACGAACTAGCAAGTGAAAGCGAGTTCTTTTGTAAAATAATCGGCATTTTAGTGGCTTCACTCAGTAATTTTCTCAACGTACAGTAAAAAAARGTTCACAGCGTACTTAATCGATTAATTTTTATTCCCACGCAGATGTCGTTTTGTCAACTAGATTCTTTATTAGCGTCAACAAACCTCTTTAAAAAGCGGTTTGATCACTTTCTATTGTTTTGCTTTTTTTGTCAAAAACATTTGAAWACTTACGCGGAAAAATATCAGCTTCGAACGAGYGATATCGCATGATACCCGTCCGCCGAAAATGTACCACGTGATGCCTTTTGAGCAATGGARGCGCGTGAAAATATATTGTTGTGCAGATAAGGCCAAAACAAAGATGAGGGCCATTCTGGATCCACTACAGTACCGAAACTCCTAGAAGCATTAAACTTCTTAATGGTTGGAATGATCAAATGCACAGGGTGGCATAATTAGTTGTTGGTGMCGGAGCAGTCTTGACTGAAGCTTTCCGGGTAGATGAAGTTAAAATTGTATGTCACCAGCTTCAAATTGTAGAAGAAGGCAAAACGTTCAACGAAATAAGGACCCAGCGAGTAATTAATCCAGTTGAATATTTTTGTATTTAACGAACAATCGTCAGCGCCCAGGAATTGACTCAATATCGGCTCTAACGTTCGCTTCGCGGGGTGTCCATTGGGTTTCTATTTGGATATGGTTGTTGAGGCACACGRTGAAAATGGCCAAAATAGGGCAATCTGTTGAAGCTCATCATTTGGACTACAGATTGGACAATTCTGACAGCTCTTTGGAAACCCGGCAATGTCTTCTCCACTGTATGTATTCCGTTTCCACCAGAAGCCTATAAGGGACTTGAAACGTGTGACGCCCGTACATTTCTTTAGTACCAAGCGTCGGAATACTCAAAGCACATTAAAAATTCCAAAACGAACGTTATGACCATATTTGGAAAGTTCGTGCGTTGGCTTACTCAGAGGCATCAAAGAGTAACTCTCAACGGCGAATTTTCTAATCCAAGAAAAGTCCAATCAGGTGTACCGCAAGGAACTGTTCTTTCACCCCTCTTCTTCTTGTTATTTGTCAACGATATTGGCCAAAACCTTTCTCCCAAGACTAAACTACGCCTATTTGATGATGACACAGCCGTCTACAGATCAATTACTACTGAAGATTATGTAAAAACACTTCAAAATGACTTGAACCAACTTTTTTGTGGGCCTCTAAATGGCAAATGAAATTCAATTTGAAGAAATGTAATGTCATGAGATTCTCTAGAGCTTCTAATCACATTAACATGTCTTATATGGCGAAAGGGGTTACTCTACCCATAGTTTCACATCARCCCTATTTGGGCGTTGTGCTCTCTAACAGCCTTAGTTGGGATTCCCACATATCAAGTATAACAAAGAAAGCTAACCAGATCTTGGCCTTTCTCCGTAGAAATCTAGGCAGTTGTCCTATGTCAGTTAAAGAGCAAGCCTACTTCACCCTAGTTCAACTGCACCTTGAATATGCTAGTTGTATAGTTGGGATCCTTATCTTTCAAAGCATATATCATAACCGCCGACCGGTTAGCTCAGTAGGTAGAACATCGGACTTTAGTGCGGGAAGTCGCAGGCTCAAACTCCGGCCGGACCAACACTCAGGGTCTTAAAATAATCGAGGAGAAGTTGCTGCCTTTGTCTTTCTCCATCTGCAAAAGGTAAGATCTTCGCGTCCTCTCGGATAACGACGTAAAATCGGAGGTCCCGTCTCTGTACACTTCACTTACTAACCTGTATTAGAGGGACGTTAAA